GGGGCACCTGGGTGACTCGGTTGGTTAAGCATCTAACTCTTGATTTCCGCTCAGGTCATGATTATCAAGCTTCCCTCCTGCTTCCACCCCCACCCTGAACGTGTGCTCTCTCTCTTTTAAATGAATAAATAAAATCTTCCAAAAAAAAAAAAAAAGAAAGAAAGAAAAGAGGGGCGCCTGGGTAACTCAGTCAGTTAAGCGTCTGCCTTCAGCTCAGGTCATGATCCCAGGGTCCTGGGATGGAGCCCTGCATCATTGAGGCTCCCTGCCCAGCAGGGAAGCCTGCTTCTCCCTCTCCCTCTCCCTCTCCCTCTGCCCCTGCTCGTGCTCTCTTGCTCTCTCTCTCTCACTCTGTCTCTCAAATAAATAAAATCTTAAAAAAAAAGAAAAGAAAAGCTTTTCCAAGGGCCACAGGTCCTTTACTATTGTTACAAAATAGCAAAACCTATGAAAGAATGGCAATGCAAACAACTTTTCTCTTTTGAGGACTTTCATTAAACTCTGTGTTCCCACTTGAAGGTTTCCTGCTCAACAGGTTTCCTGGCATAAATGGACCTTTATAATAAATTGCCAAGTGGTTGTCCTGATGTACAGAGAACTATGAAGTTTGGCTTTGTGTTGTGAAATAAAAGTTAACTCTTAGTAGTTTATGTAAATTAAGTGAGAACCATTAGTTATTCTAGTGGTAACTCTGATTTGGGAAGAGGAGACTATCCATATGAAGAAGGGAAATTAGACCCAGTCTGAGAATTGGGACTCTATATCTGTGCAGTTAATTGGATTAATATCTTTTCAGAGCTGGGAATTTCAATGACATTTTTACAAACTGAAACTTCCATAAAAAAAAAACTTTTTTTTTTTTTTTTTTTGGTTTGTTTGGGCCCAATCTAGGCTTTGCCACAAGCATTCTCTGTCAAAGAATGAGCTTTCTGCAACTATGGTTTATCATGAATTGTTGATTCATAAGGACGATGAAAGGGACGAAATACCATTTTGTTGATCTTAGACAAAAGTAACTTTATGTGACTTAGACTTTGATATCACTTTGCTTCTGAGAAGCAAAGGTGTATGTGTTTTTACTGTAGGGATGGAATGTATACCATGCCGGCACGGGGGCACATAAGGACAAAAAATGGAAACCATATTAGCCTTCACTATATTTTGGAGCTTTAATTATAGAAGTTCTAAAGAAAATGCAAGCTCTCACTGTAAAAAGAAAAAAAATCTTCAACGACTGGAAGGTTTTATGGGGTAAGGAGAGGACAGGTAACTTTAACCCTGTTAGCCTTGCTGAAAAGTTTCCAAAATCATGAAATTTTTAGAATAACAGCATGCTCAGATTATTTATATAATGTGACTTTACTTTTGACTTCCCCCTAAATGATTTCTAATTCTATATTAGGAAGCTCTTTATGAAAAACTACCTAAAGTTTTAGGCAGATAATTACAATTCTTTCCTTTGAGGAGTGTATACTTATGGCTAGACTCTAAGCTCTTGAGGAAGACACAGTGCATGCTTTCTTATTCTCCCTGTATCCCCAACTCCATGCACAATTATTATTGTTTTTTAAGATTTTTTTTATTTACTTGTCAGAGAGAGAACACAAGCAGGGGAAGCAGCAGGTGGAGGGAGAGGGAGAAGCAGGCTTCCCGTGGAGCAGGGAGCCCGATACGGGGCTCGATCCCAGGACCCTGGGATCATGACCTGAGCCGAAGGCCGACGCTTAACTATCTGAGCCACCCAGGCACCCCCAGAAAAATCACCATTTTGCAGTCCCCACTGACATATTGATTCACACAGGAATCACCACTGGATGCTAAAATCATTAGCGATTGAAGAAAAAACAGATTATATCATAATACCAAAGTATGACCTTATATATTACTCAATTTGAAAAGGGAAAAAGTACCATTAATAAAAGATATGTGCTGGAGCACCTGGCTGGCTCAGTTGGTAGAGCGTACAACGCTTGCTTTTGGGGTTGTAAGTTCGGGACCCACGTTGGGTGTAGAGATTACTTAAAAATAAAATCTTTAAAAAAAAAATACAAGATTTGTGCTTACCATCCAACTCAAGTGATCAAAGTTAGGATCACTAATAAACTGATAATCATGTGCCTCCAGATAAAAGGCAATATAAATTACACAACATCACTCATGAGATACTCCTGCTGGAATACTCCTGTTTATCCTGAATCTACTCAAGGCTTTTTGCCTTTATTTCCAGTGTATAGGAAATACAGGGGGTTAGGGGCGCCTGGGTGGCTCAGTTGGTTAAGCATCTGCCTTCAGCTCAGGTCATGGTCCCTGGGTCCTGGGATCAAGCCCTGCGTCGGGCTCCCTGCTCAGCGGGGAGTCTGCTTCTTCTACTGCCTCTGCTGTTCCCCCCACCCCCTGCTTGTGCTCTCTGGCTCTTTCTATCTCTCTGTCAAATAAGTAAATAAAATCTTTTTAAAAGAAAATACAGGGCGTTAAAATACAAGTTTAAATGACACCATGAGAAATCAATTGGACAAATCCAGAATCTGGGACATTCTACAAGATAATTAGCTTGGTTTCTCCAAAATGTCAGCCACAAAAGAAAAAATATTTTAGAAATACTGTTATAAAATAGAAGAGACTTTAGATCACGGTTCAAAAAATAACTATATAAAACGTTTGAGGAACAACTGAACAATTCGAATGGGTGTTTGATGATAACAGGGACTTTTTGTTAGTTTTTTTAGGTATGTTATTCTATTGTGGTAACCTAGGCAAATGGCCTTGCAGGAGTTGCATGCCTAAAGTATTTAAAGGTGAAATGGCATGATGCCTGCAATTTACTTTTAAATGGTTCAGCAAAAATACATACATTCATATGTACTCATATATGGAAAGAAAGCTGGAGAGAGAGAAAAGGAAGGAGAGAGATGTCTTAAATATGGCAATCTGTTAGCAATTGAAATAGGTGGGTGTGTGGGGTTTCTTTGTACTAGTCTTGTAACTCTTCCCTTTTGGAATTTTTCATAATAAAAATATTTTTTATTAGGATATTTTGTCCAGAAGGGGTTTCCCCTCTTGCTGGTACCAGGGTGGCCATCAGGGGCTTTTTTTTTTTTTTTTTTTTTTGTCAAGCCAATGACGCCACTGGCTTTACTCCTGCAAATAACAGAATTCCTTGCCTAGCATGTGAAAGAAACTGGTTTGTACTTGGACACACAGAAATGCCAGAAAGTATAAGGTTGAACAATTTTCTGTTAGGAAGAATTATAGAAACAGGGCAACTGAAGGAGCAAAACTAGTTGAGGATATAAAACTAGTTAGAAAAAGAAATCACGTAGAAAAGTGTGCATTTCACTAAACTAGATTTTTTTCTCCTTTTTCTCCTCAACTTCCTAAATAGCTACTTGAAACTGTAAGAGAAGTTAAGCTCCCAAATAAAACACTTTAACTTAATACTAATGGTTTCTTCTGCCTCAATTTTTCCCCTCTTCTCATAAAGAAGCATTTATTACTGTATTCCATACTACTAGTCTGGATTTCTTAAAAATTAGACTGCTTAAAAAAAATTGTACATTGGTAATTTTTAATAACTTATTTTCAATCTGAAAAGATATTTTATGAGCTGGCCAAATTTTCCCTAATGCACACTTCTTAAATTAATAACATAGCTTAAATCTTTAAAGAATTCCCCAAATAAATAATGGATGTTTACATTGTTCTCAAATTCTCTGTTTCCTGTTCCCTCACCCCTACCTTAGGTCAGAACAAGGAAAATGTTGTGGACTAAAATCTTCGAACTAGTTTACATCAATAATAGCAGCAAGAAGCCCAGATGGTGTTTTGGGTTTTTTTTTTAAGATTTTATTTATTTATTTGACAGTGACACAGCAAGAGAAGGAACACAAGCAGGGGGAGTAGGAGAGGGAGAGGGAGAAGCAGGCTTCCTGCTGAGCAGGGAGCCCGATGCGGGGCTCGATCTCAGGACCCTAGGATCAAGACCTGAGCCAAAAGCAGACGCTTAACGACTGAGACGCCCAGGCACCCCCCCAGATGATGTTTTGAGAATTGAGTTTTTACCATGGCAATGGTTACTGTTTAATCACTGGTACAATCAAGTGAGTTGAAAAAAAAATCTGTGAATTTAAACAGTCATGAGTATTTGCTGAATGACCAGTCTGCTTGCCCGTGTTGACTTTTTCTTACCTGATTCCACTAACACCTCAAGAGGTCCAGATGGTCCCTGAAGTGGGTCTAACAATTTCTTCTTCACTGGTGTTGGCCAACCATTGACAAGATCAGACCTCTGATTCATCATTTAGATTTCCTATGGGGTGGTCTTTAAAAAAAAAAAAAAAAAAAATCTGTTCTTATATTCTCTAAACGTTATCTAAAAAGACTCCCTGTATTTTCTTTGTAAAGTTCAGTTAGCATCTTCCTTCAATTAAGCCAGCCATAAACTTAGAGAAATTAGTTAGAAATTGCAAATGAACAGCTACAAGTCTAATTATGTACATACATATACATATATACATATATATACACGTGTGGTGTGTGTGTGTGTGTGTGTCTGTTTAGAGAGAGAGAGACCTTGCCTAAACTCCCAAGAGAAGGGAAAGTATAAAAGCTTCATAGCAGGCTCTGGTCTTAACTTGCCTCTTTGTCCTTTAAAAAAAAAAAAATACAATGACATAATAAGAGGTCGCTGTGCTGTCTTTGGCTTTTCAAGCTTTTGGAGTCACTATTTGTGCTCATGACTAGAGCAATGAAAACAAGTCTTTTTTCCCCAAGACACAAGTAGCTTCAGTTCAAGCCACTCCAGACTTCCTTGCCAGTGACCTCAACAGTGACCTTGACTTATTCTAGGAAGAGCTCTTTCTGTTGAGTCCTTTTAGCTCATTTTTATGTGAATTTCTGTTCACTCCCAGTGGACTGAGATCACCCGATGAAGAAAACGTCATGATTCATTATATTTCTAGTGTGCTGACTTTTCATTATTTTAATATGTCTTTTCCTTACAGTAGCCTCTTTGGAATCTTGTACACCTAGCCTACAGAAGTGGCTTACCCAAGCAGTGACCGAGCCAGACTGCCGGCTTCCCCGGGAACACTGAGTCTCTTGTCATTTGAAATCGGGAGGAGAGGATCCAAGCTACATTCTCAGTCCTCTGTATCAGATTTCGGAAGTGAGAACTCAATCCCAATCAGTCTTCTTCCCAAACCGTGTCAAAGCTGGAGGTGTTTTTTAGTCGGTCTCCGGCTGTATGGCTTCCTGTCGACCATCATCATGTCTTCTGAAGTGTTTCACTTGACTGGCCCATGTGCACTTCCAGTTCACCATAAAATGGTGTGATGTCTGGCCATTCTCTTCACGTGCCCTTACCTACTGCTTCAAAGAGCTTGAGTCTCTTCTGGTGGATTCCCTTCTGGATTCTAGAAGCCTCTTGAGGGCAGAACCATTCTGAGCGTTTGTGTAGCTCTCCCTGTGCCTTGCACACGAAAGGCATTCAGTATTGTCAATAATGAGGATTCTCATTGCTGGAGCCTCTAGCTTTGAAGGATGAGGCCCACTGGGTGCCATCTGCTGGTGATGAGGACCAAGTTTAGTTGGCAGACACCATGACTAACAACCATTGTCAGAGTCCTAATGGTACCTACTACAAGATATGAAGATTAATACAACAGCCCTGCCCTCAAACTTTCTGATTTAATGGGGAGAAAGTCTATGCAAATCCTGGGATTGAATGGTGTGGGGAGGGCAGGGACCAGTATGCTGAACATGCTATTTGCAGTTGAGTGTGCAAGCAGCCAGCCTTCAGCTCCAAATTGGAATGTCTTGTGCGTAGGTGCGTGTGTGCTGGGTGCAGAAGAGTGCAGTTTACCACCCTACCATCACAGCTTGGTCATTGGAAATGGTCTAATCTAAACCTCACATAAATCAAATCCTAAATATTAGTACAGTATTATTTCTTTGTAGGCTTTGAATCTTAACCCTTCTTTTCCAGACCAGTCATTTAAAAAAAAGCTCAGTTCCTTTTTACCAACTAGCCCTAGAGTGTATTTGGACAAAGAGGCAGAATTTATCTGTATCTTCCAGGTTATCAGGGGAGAGTTGTTGGTCAGAAGATTTAGCAGTTTAATATATGACCTTACGGTGTGACCATCTGAACGTCAACCTGTGTGCTCCCATTTTTGAGAAGGAAAAAATTTAAGAAATTATTAACTAGCTACCTAGCGTTCAAACGTGTGGGTTATAAGTAGGCATCACCAGGACTGGGGTGCATGAGTGTTTCATGGTCACAAGGAACGGGGGTTGAATCTGCAAAAGTAGCTTTCTGGGAATTTGAATATGATTCTGGTAAAGTCCTTTATTGCAGCTTCGATTATCGCAGCCTGATGAAGAAGAAATCAGCTTATTTTCATAGGGAAGGGAAGACACATGCAAAAAAAACCTTTGTTGGTAATCTCAAGAGCTTTGGCTAAAGTAGAACATGTGACTTTTATTAAAAACCCAGATGCCACGGCACCTGGCTGGTTCAGTTAGTGGAGCGTGAAACTCTTGATCTTGGGGTCGTGAGTTCGAGCCCCACGTTGGGTGCAGAGGTTACTTTAAAAATTAATTTTAAAAAGTTTATTAAAAATCTGGATGCCAATAAAAATTTGGGAGTGAGTCATAATCTTCGTTGCTCCCCCTTATCTTTTGTGCTCCCCACCCCCATCTCTGCTCCAGCCTTCTGAATTAGCCCCTCTGATGTCTTTATGGTGACTACCCAGCCTATCATACAGGACAAAGGTCTTTGAGCCATCAAGTGACTTCTGTAGACTCTGTACCATGAGCATGAGGATCACAAGGGACCCACTTTTTTATGAGCTCCCGTTCAGTGAGGCTGTTGGGGTAGAATTCCTTCCTCTGCCCTCCCTTCCAGTAGACAAGGTTTAACCTGATTATACCCAGCAGGCAAAAAGGCACCCTTGGAAATTAGTCTCCTTATTGAGACTGACTGTGAAGAGGGCATGCTTGTAAAGGAAAGAATGCAAAGCTAGAAAATATGTTCCAATCTTTGATAAGGGGTAGGGGGTGAAGAGGGGAAATGAAGATGTGTGAACATCTAGCATTTTTTCTGCTTTCCCTTATTTATACTCCTTTCAAAGTTACAAATGTGATGTGTCATTGTGACCCCAAACTTGGGGTAAATAAGAATCCACAGTGAGATGGTATTCAATTTTCCCTGGAACGAGAAATTGTCCCTTTGGGGGATGGGGGGTGGGGGGGGACAATTTCCAGCATAAAGATAATTCCATTGTACAGTGTAAATTAGAGTCCTGTGTTCAGTTGTGTGCTTGCCCTACATCCCCTCTCCCCCTGTGTAAAACAGACACCGGAGAGACATTGCCCATCAATCACCCCACAGGAAGCACGACACAATTTGAAACTCAAAAATTCAGAAATTCTCATACCTGTTCCTTCAACAAAGGGATGCAGTGGGGAGAGAACCCAGTGTTTTACTTCAGAAATCAGCAACATTTCAAGCAAAATGAAGAGTAATTTGCTCTTTTCTGGAGCCTGGTCCTATAGAGAAATAATGTAGATGTTCTACTCCATGTTATGGCTTAATATACAATTTAACACACAAAAGTTGCTCATATGTACAAAAACACCAGATAAAAGGAACTTAGAAATGTGAGGGTAATGTCTTTCATTTATTTTAAACTACAGGTGGCTGAATGTTTGGTATCACCTCTCTGAGTTAGATTCAATACAGTAGCCTCTTTCTTCGGGAGGGGGCCGGCAGTTAGGAGTGAAGATGAAAAGAGAAGTCCAGGGTTTAACCCCAGTGCAGCCCTGTTCAGAGTTAGCCTGGTCAGGCCCACAAAGGGATACAAACTGTGAGCTAATTGTGATGCTGAGTGTTTTGGCAGGGATCCTCTTTGTGGCCAAGGCCCATCAAAACTTGAATAATGGTGTTTCTACCACAAGGCTTACCCTCTTTCTCCAAAAATGGTCCATTTGAATTATTTCTATGTATCTGGCTTGAGAAATACTAAGATGCTAATTGTTATGCGCTGGTGTGATGATTTCCTATCTTATGGAAAGTATTTGCCTTCTTATTAAAAATAGAAGCTTAGTGCAAAAGTATTTGTTCATAACTGGTCCTTAAACTAAGTACAAACTCAATTTCCAAGAGGAGTAAAAAGGGCTTTACAAATTGCTAAGTCACCAACATGTCCTTTTGCCCACCTTTATATGCCCTACAAAGTCTTGTACAAGACGTGCATATATTATTTCCCCAGGGAACACACACACACACACACACACACACACACATCCCACCACCAGCACCACATACCAATATTGTTGATTCACTGGGTTTCTGTTTGCTGACCGCCTGTCCTGTGTTAATGGTTTCAAATTGCTGTTTGCTCCGCGAACTTCTTCAGAGGGTAAACCATTTGAAACCGTTAAAACCAGGAGCAAAAGAAATTGGCATCTGACATCCTCTTTAACTTAATTCCTCTAAGGGAGACCCACATACTTGTTTTGATTATGGGTGGGGCAAAGAAGGGATACACTTTCATATTATATTTTAAAGGTATTTTTCTCCTCAAAATTTGAATGTTATAACAGCCACACCCTACATTGATCATTAATACTGATCAGTTCTCTAAGCACTGTATCGATTGTAAACTAAAAAAAAAAAAAAAGCCTAGCTGAGGACTTTCTGGGTAAGAACCTCAGTGATTTTACAGTATTTCTCTTACCTCAGTCTCCACTTCCATCCCTGCCTCCAAAACATACATGCACACAGAGGCACGCACACACCTTAAAAGGGAGCAAATGAGCATTGGGCTCTAAGGAAGCATAGACAGCAGGAGAAAGAGGTCATCGACTGTCTAATTGTCTCATTCTTATATGTCGGTAAGGATTGCCTGTAATCTCTCTTACCCTCAAAGAAATCAGGCACTGCTGTTGACGAAGTACCTGTATTTACTTCTGGCCAGGGAAATGCCTGTTGATGCTACCATGGATATCAACATCACATGCGTCCCATGTGAAAGCACTTTCTTTTTTTTTTCTTCATTTCTTTTTTTTTTAAGTAGCCTCCACACCCAGCATGAAGCCCAAAACAGGGCTTGAACTCACACTCCTGAGATCAAGACCTGAGCTAAGATCAAGAGTCAGATACTTAGACGATTGAGCTACCCAGGTGCCCCTACCTGTGAAAGCATTTTCTATTTTAAATTTTCAGAAATCACTACTTAGCACCCAGAAAAAAAGTTTCTCCCTCTTAATGGTTGGAGCCTAGTTATTATTTACTATGCTTAAAGGCAACTTACTATTTCCATTTCTTAGCCTGCAAAAAGAAAACATCATTATCTCGGCTCAAAGTTGTTTAGAAAACAACAGCAATCCAGTGTCTGCATTTTGTCAATGAGATACTTGATGTGAATTTGCATTCATGGTGACAACAACAATTCTGTTGATTTTATGTATTTTACACCTTCAACCTTTGAAGGGAACAAGGAGGTCTAGCAATTTCTCTTAGAAATGGCTGTTATTAGAAGGAGTGGTGAGTCTTTGCTTTTGTCTGCCAAGCCTGTTTAACTAGAGAGTTGGTAGTTGGTTTCTTTTGCAGTTTCCAATTTTAAGAGCAAAGACACAGCCTATAATCTAAATACTGAACAACTGATCTCATCAGATATGTTTTAAGAAGAACAAAGATTAAGTAAGTCTCCGTCTGTATCACTGAGAGAAAGGGTTTTAAAAATCAGTTTGATGCCTCAACCCTATGCTAGAGGGGACTTATTTCAGGGTGTCCACTGCGGTTCCTTAGTGGTCCATGAAGTCAGCTCATGCATTAGACTTCTTCCTTACGCAAATAGGCCTGTTTTATTTATTTATTTATTTTAAGATTTTTTTATTTTTTTATTTGACAGAGAGAGTACAAACAGGGGGAGTGACAGGGAGAGGGAGAAGCAGGCTCCCCACTGAGCGGGGAGCCCGATGTGGGGCTTGATGCGGGGCTCGATCCCAGGACCCTGAGATCATGACCCAAGCTGAAGGCAGACGCTTAGCCGACTGAGCCCCCCAGACGCCCCACAAATAAACCTCTTTTAGAACCATAAGGTATTTTTTAGGGTGGATTCTGCAATTTGATTTATTTTGGTTTGAAGGTTTTGTTGAGGAGCTCCTAATGACATTCCAATACAAAGTGCTTGTTATAGAGGAAACCACCAGCTTCTCAGGGCTGAGGAAGGGAAGCCCGAAGACAGAATATGAACTGGGCAAAGGAAAAAGAGCAATCTGGAAAGGACAGTCTGGGGAGAGGGAAGACGCGCTGCAGACCGAGAAGTTCTTCGGCAGGGGTTGGAGCTGGGACCTGTGGAGGCCATGGCCGGGGCCACACGAAGCTACGAGCACGCTCCAGAGAGGTTCGGCTTGCTAGGAGAAGTGCACGCTGGCCACCCTGCCCTCTGCTCCGGCACCCCTGAGGTTGGCAGCTTCAAGCCACAAATTCTGGGGCTGGGCTGATTTTGGGCACACTTGGCTTCAGGAGTCTTGCTGGCCTTCCTCCCAGACAGAGCTGCTGAGGTTTCTGGGATACAGACAAGCAGCCCACCTTACCTCCCAAGCACAAGGTCCGGGGAGACCAGGGTGTGGTTAACAATCAGCGTATTAGTGGACGAAGAACAAAGTGTCCTCTAGATTCCCTGCCTTAGATTCACATCCATGGAGACATTGATTTTCTTTCAGAGTTGTGCTCTGTGCTACGCAACTACTTTTTGGCCGCCTAATAGGCACAACATATCAAATAAGAGCCAAAGATGAAGGCTGATACGTTCAGGGCCCACACACAATGCTGCGTGAGTGCAGCAGAACAGTTCAGACCGCAGGAGGGGAAGGTAAAATGCAGCCAGTGTCCGATGGATGATCACCACTTTCTTCCCGTAGGCACGTGTGTGAACCTACGGATGCTTTTGAACAGGTAGGTAATGTGATGAAATTAGACTTTCGAAAACACTGGCCTGACAGTGGAATCAGGGAAAAGAGCGGAGAAGGAGAAAGGACACCAAGGCAGTGGACACAGGAGCCCGATTTAACTTCTCTAAACTAAAAAATACAGATTGGTGGGTTTCTAGGGTTGGTGTGAGAATCACATGTGGTTCCTGACACATGGCCAACAGCAAATATTTATATCAGCTCCCCCATCCTCTAATTGGGGTGAGTGGATGTGGATATAAAGTACAGATGTTAGAGATGAGACTTGTGGCAAGAGCAACAAATTCAGTGAATACTTAGATATAAGGAATTCAGAAGAGAAAAAGAACCAGAGGAAAGCCGGGATTTCAAATTTTAAAAATCTAGTCTTTTTTTTTTTTTAAGATTTTATTTACTTATTTGTTAGAGAGCACAAGAGCACAAGCAGGGGGAGCAGCAGGCTCTCTGCAGAGCAAGCAAGCAGTCCAAATTTGGGACTCGATCCCAAGACCCTGGAATCATGACCTGAGCCAAAGGCAGATGCTTAACCAACTGAGCAGGCATCCCTAAAAATCAGGTCTTAAGTAAGAGGTACAGGTAGGATAAGTGCTAGTTTTAAGAGAAAGATGAGTTGACCCTTGGACATTGAATTTGGACCTGAGATATTACAGAGACAATATGGATTTGAGAGTCACTGACCTAGAGGTGAAGTCAGAAGTGGATTTGCCTTGGAGCTCAAGTTTTCCTGCCCCTCACTCTCCTAGACACTTCCAAGGACATACACCTAGTGTTGTGTTTATAAGTTACTGATTTTCTTTAAAAAGCTCCCTCAAGAGTTATATAAGCTTCAGGCCCTATAAAATCTGGACCTTTACAGGTTCAAGTCAGAAGACAGAACCCATGGGATAATGGGAGACAGAATTGGAAGAATCCAGTTACTGTCCTCAAAGGACAAAAGGGGTCAGCAGAGGAGGCCAGAGGGGCAGAGAGAAGGTCTGTAGGCCAGCATGCAGCAGGGAGATCAAAAAGACTTGAGGTTGATGATGGGTCACTGGATTTAACTATTCAAAAAAGTGGCTGATTTGAAAATGTCTACTGAGTACAGTGTGGGGGAAGCCCAGGTTGGGGGGAGCGTATTGATGAGCGGGAAGTGTGCAGTGAATGTAGACCCTTCATCTGGCCAGCCCTCCATAAAAGAAAAGGAGAGGATACCATTCCGCTCCTCAGTTTTAAAATTCTTCATTCAACTTTTGCCTATGCAGTCCATATTCCTTTGGGATTAATATTAACTCCCTGAGCATGGATCTGGCTTTCTCTTTTATTACATTTCCCACTCCTTGAGATTTTCTCTGGTCTTGGTTGGATCTACTCCTCATGTGTAGTGTAAGCCTGGTCAATGGCTAAGAAACGGGCTGTTGGCTGGCACTGATTTTGTTTTTTGTTTTTGTTTTGCTTTGTTTTTGCCCTAATAGCTTCACTTTTTCCATCCACATGGAGAATGAGTTGTGGGAGTTCAGGGGTTGAAGACCAGGGTGGAGAGACCGAAGTCATCAGGCACCAGAGAGAGGCTGGAAAACTGTGGTCTGTTATCTGTTAACCAAGTCAAAGGTAAGGATGACTTCATCCCCACCCAGGGCGCCTCTCCACCCCTTCAGCTGATTTCCGACCGGCTGGTTTACCCAGGAAAGGTTTTCTTTGACTATGTCTCTCGCTGCCTGGCTTCACAAGTTACTTTGGAAAAAAAAGATGCGATTAAACTGTTCCCCGGTTTCTTCCTGTGAGGAGTCTTTCCCAGACAGCGTCCGTTCATGCGATCTGACTTGCAGTGGACTTTTTTTTTCTTTGCTTTGTTTAAATATAACTGAAAGACCTTTGTTACCATCATCATTGAGGAGATTTAAAAAAAAAACGCAACACACCTACAGGTTTGCAGGACCCAGGGAGGAGGTGACCTTTGGGTAGCTCGCGCTCGGCTGGGATTCGGCTGTAAGGGCTGGGACAGTGCACCCCAATGCTGCCCCAGTGCTCTCGGGAGAAACAAGCGTGCGGCAGAGGGTGGCCTGGCGCGCGCGCCTGTGTGTGTGCGTGTGCGCGCGCGCGGAGGGCGTGCGTGCAGGAGTGTGCGTGTGCGCAGGGAAGGGTGGCGGGGAGGTTGCGGCAGAAGCTGTTTTGTGGAAAGCACTTGCAGGTTCGGAACCGGCTTGGCGCCTCCCCTTGCGGGTTACACGAGGACACCTGGCTCTTCTTCACGCTCGTACTTCTCTGTTTCCCGCCAGCCCTACTTCCTCGAGCGCCTTCGGGTGCGGGGAGCAGCGTGCCGGGTGGCGACTTGCAGGCCCCCGGGGCCCCGGGAAGGTGAAGATGAGCGCCGCGGCCCCGACGTTGGC